TTTTAATTAATTAAGGAAACCTTATCCGAAAATGACAGTTTTTTGTATTTCAAATTAAAATTTGATTCTGTCATTAAAATATTACCGTTACAAATTCGAATTAATTTTCTTTTATTATCAGATTAATTTTCTTTAATTATTCAGATTTATTTTCCTTAATTATTCAGATTAATTTTCTCTAATTGACGGATGTTTTACATGATTTTTTAAGGTTTTTGAGACTCTATAAATAGAGGCCTCCGGCACACTATTTTAGTATCCGAAAGAAACCTTTCTCTCTTCCTTATCTCTGAGTTCTCATATATTTTTCGATTGCTAGTTTTGCTCCTCAATTCCTTGAGACGACCTCGTTGTATCTTGGGGGGCTTGCGCGTATCCTGCGGATAAGTCCTTAAGGTCAGTACCATCACACGTCTCAGGAGAATTTTACTAACGTTTGTTCGATGTTTCAGGTTTCTCATAGCTGCATCCGCCATTTTTATACAACAATCTTAGGGACTTATGTTGTCCATGAAAATCTCTTTAGGATTTTGTAATTTTTGGATTTGGTTTCTTTCACCAACAAAGGTGGTGCAAACCCTAATTTTTGAAATCAAATAATCAATCCATGAAATCAAAATGGAGAAGGGAACACTAGCAAAGGTTTTTTTGGCAATCGGAAGTCAGACGACAACAACAAGAAGGAGAAGGCCGAGGAAGACAGATCCAAGGTGAATGACCTTAGGGGTTCTCCGATGAGCGTTGATCTTAATGAATTTAATGGGTATATTAATCGATGAGTACAACCACATTAAACAATATGAAATTTGTTACGAAATGTGACTGGGCAAGTGAGGTTTCCTTGGCTTAGCTACAAAGTCAAAAGGTAATTTTTTTTATAAAATAATAATTACATGCAAATCTTTTAGAATCAAGTCCTTAGACGTTATGTATTGTTTCTTCTTAATTGGTTTGCGTGAAAGTGTAATGAAAAGCCTTGCATGTGGGTGGAATATTATGTGATGGTATTATGAGTTAGAAATGTCAAATGGCTAAAGTAATAGTTGATCTTTTAGGCAATTTTATTAGATAAAATACTACTATCATTCGCACAAAAAAAAAACTAGTAGTATGCTATGTGATTTGTGTTTAAAATAAATAAATAAATAAATATAGATATAATATTGGAGGTTGATTAATATAGCTTTAACATATATAACTAGTGATATAGTATGATCTTTAAAAGTACTATCACTTAAGAGAAAAGATGAGGTGTGATGAGAGGATGAGAAGAGTAATTACGAGATATCAAATGAGAAATGATGTAGGCAATTAATATTTGAGATTCTCTTCATGATAAGAATATTTAATTATTAATACACCTTATTATTTTTATTAATTTTCATGAATGAGATGAAACTCCTTAACACCAATATAATTATATATGATGAGCTTTGGGTACATTACTTTATGTGATGTTGAACATATTTGCTATATGTTTTGAAATATTGGTTTAAAGTTCCCTCATATTTTTGTGATCATATACTTGATTTGATGACTAATATATTTTTGTTATTTGCTTTCGAGGTAATACATGATTATATATGAGTTTGACCTACATGACATTACGTGAGAGAGAAACTTCACGTTATGAGAAGATAGCTAGTATTGATCTAGTATATTAATTGATTAAATATTTTAATTGCATAATGAAATGTGAAATTATCCATATTATAATTTTTAATACTATGAGATGTTGGAAAGATACCATAAATTGATGGTATTCAACATGGTGGATTTTCCATTGTATTAGAAATACAATGGTGATTATTATTTGATCTTTGATCAAAATGAGACAAAATCCATTCATGGTTATGTCACTACACTTGGGTGTGGTGCAATTACTTTGAGATCAACCAATTAAATAATTGTTGAGTTAGAGTTTATTTCTCTTGATATGGTTGATTATGAGGCTGAGAGGTTGAAAAACCTTAGTAAATATTCCATTGGGAATATAACATTGAAAATAATGTGGTAAAGCAATTTCTTATATAAAATAATTGAATTTATCGATTATGTGAAGTTAATAATGGATTCGGCCGATCCTATCACTTAAATCCCTAAGAAAGATATTGTTATATTAAACATTGAGGGGAATGAGACTTTATTAAGTCAATTGAAAACAAACAAGTGATGGTAACCCAACCTTTGTGATTGGAGATCCCATGAATAAGGTTCATATAGGTAAGAACAAGTTACTTGTTAGTTCTGCTAGCATTAAATTTCTTACATCTTTGTCCCTTCCTAAAATATGAGAAAGTGCTAGAGCTGCATTACTGAGAGGGTAAGTTTTATTAAGCTTTATGATGAGAAAGCTTGACACATTATAAAAATTTTAATGATTTTCATATCCCTTATGGGTGGTGTATGATTTGCAGCATGCACTTGATGAAATCACCTATATGAGTGTCAAGTGGGGCTGCTTGCATGAGATCTTGGTGAGATCTCTAGAGCACTCATGAATATCGGGCACGCGCATGGCCTAGTAGCGCAAAACAGCGATAACGGCAAGAATTGTGAGGGTGTAATATGATTGATAAAACCGCTAATATACATTAAGTGTTTTGGTTCATATAGCTTGCTTTACCAATCTCAATCACTACAAGAAAATTCGCTATTACAGACGGCCAAAATCCGTGGGAAATGCCAAAAATCCGTGAGTAATAGTGCATTTCCGCCTTCTAAAAGTGTTCATCCATTCGGTGTTATCTCCATTGAAGTGGATCCGTGCCTAGGAGGAGCTTAGGAGGAGTTCAATCTTCACTTCTCCTACTTCTTCTATCAGTTGTCATCATATTCTATCTTCCTTTTTTGTTGACTAAGAGCTGATCTAGCATTCAAGGGCCGATGTGGCCTAGATATCGTGTTGCGGCCTCTGCCAAGCTAGGCCTCTACCAAGGTCGGGAGGTACGGGCTCTATTTACACGGTCGAGGTAGCCATCTTGGCTAGGTCGTTACAGTTATGATTGATCTTAACATCTTTTGAAACTCCAATTCACGGTTTGCTTATTGTCGTAATTTATTCAATTTTCAATTTATTTACCCTTGGTTAAGGCAAAAAAACAAACCAGAGACACATTGACGAGTCAAATCTTGCTTCTTTAAAAGATTTGAACATGCTTGAACAGGAGTGAAAGGGTTTTGAGATTCAAAATTATTAATTTATAATTTTGTATGAATTATTTTGCAATTTTATCTAAATTTAAGAGATTAAAGTTTATGTGTAAAAAATTTACTAATTATCACAAAATGATTGGTCTAACGTGAAAATGTACCAGTACAACTTGAAATAACAAGGGACGGTAGAAATTACCTAAATACAAACGAGCAAAAGTGATATTTATACTAAGATTTCCTGAGCAACTAAAAAAAGACTAACAAATTCTGAATGAATGGATGAAATCAATGACCAGAAGTGTGATGTATTATTCTCCTACGTGGCATCAGCTTGAAGATGAGAATCTCCATCTCTCCAATTATGTTAATAGCTTTTTAAAAAAACTTGGCCAAACAATACCTTATTTTAAAACAATGCTGCCATAAGAAAATAGCATGCTGTGCTATCTTCATTAATTATCGTATGTTGATCTAATGCAACGTAACAATGCTTTCATAATGACAACACATTACTTGAATAGTATAATGGCCATAGAATTCTTACACAAAAAAATACTATTTTGAATCATTTTGAGCTAATAAAGTATAATTTTTCTTCCCTAATCTTGGTAATTTCTTTAGTAAAGACACCAAATAAATTTACATGGTTATATTTATTGCTCATCGTCGATTTGAACTCCTTGTGCAAGCATCGCTTGGTTCATGCTCCCATGTACAGCTATCCTTTGTGTTCCCAATTACACACTCACGCAGCAAGTAACCTCTGGATATCCTTCTGAAAAAATATAAATCAGAGAAGACCAGGTTAATAATAATTTTTTTTTATTGCATTAGTATCAATTTTCAAACATACAAGTATAACTTGTCTTATATATAAATGTAAGAACAAAATAGATAGTTTCACTTTCTTTCAACTGTAAATCAGTCATAGGCTCACAATTTTATCTGCAGACTTTGCTACATGCATAACTAACTAAACAAAAAAAGCAGCTGACAGACATCTAAATATTATTAATGGAAAAAAACTAATGACTAATCCAGACCAATGCATATGAATGTGATAGTGTGTCTATAGATTTTTTTATTACTATAATTATTTTTATCTCTTTTCATATTCATAATAAGAAAGAGATAATTGGAAAAATATTACTATCTCTATTCTTATATATATATATATATATATATATATATTAAATG